AAACTGAAGTCACCTGATTGGTAGTGGGTTTGTTTCAAGTTTCAAATTGGTGAACTTTTTGTATCAGTTATGTCAAGCAACTTTTCATAATTTGGTTACTGCTAAAATTAGCTATTGTTAGTTATTGTTTTAACGTGTAAACTAGACAAAAAAGCTTGTTTGAGTTATATATGGCTTGCTGAGAATTTGCAAGTATATAGAAATCTCTAATGATTGGATTTTTACACCAGGACAAATTTAAGTTTGAGATGTAAATACTGGAAAAGTTTTTCCTAAGCTGAGATTAGTAAAACTTGCTGTTTGAGGTAAAAGCTCATAGGATTTTATTTTGAGTTATCTGATGGGTCATAATCCATTGATAATCAATAATCCACCATCTGAGAGGAATGCCACAAGCTACTCAGAGAAGGTGATACTGGTGGGAAGTCAGCATTGGGAAAAGCTGAGAGGACAATTTTAGCCTCAGTCTAAGATGGGATCCTCCTGGCTCAGTTTCCCCACTATGTTCCTTTGAAAGGAAATGTTACCCACCTGGCTATTACTGAGTCTGGCTATGAGGTGGATTTGATACTGCATGGCTGGAAAACTGAATTATTTGAATCCAAATGGAGCTAAGGATGTTTTATCCTCTCAAAGTTGGGCCCTAAGTGTAGTCTCTGCTTTATATCTCAGTCCTGCAGTTTTTTTTCTGTCAGATTTATGTCTTCCAGACTATAGGCCATTCACCTGCAGTTGGTAGCAAACAGCGGGTACCAGCCAATGTTCCCCCATCATTCCTGTCTGCAGCCCGTGCTTGGTTCCAGTCAATCTCCTCTTTGGGACCCCCTTGAGGCAGGGACAGCTCTTCACCCCTTGCCAGCAGGAAGCAGTTTCAGAATCTGAGACCTTCGCACCTTACCCCAAAAGAATTTGGGTCCCATTTGCTTGAGGGGGGAATGATGAGGATGGAAGCTAGACCCCAAAAAGGAAAAACCCTGGACTTTCCCACATGGTCAAATCTCTGGTTTTAGCCTGAGGCTACAGTCCCATCAACTGTCCTTTCTTTGTGGCCATACCCAATCTCCCACCCTTAACCTAGCCTAGACCTCCCTATGTCCCCAGGCCACTTCCCACCATTAATCCAATCTAAGCTGCATTCTCCCTGGGATACCCCTGGAGTTCTATTACCTCATAGACTACTTGGCCACTCCTAGATCCCTCCCATAGTCTTTCTGTATATAAGGTCCATCTTGTCTCTATTGTCTCAGATTCTTAAAATCTAGCCACTGCTTAGATTCTTATAATCTAGCCAATAGGTCAATAGTTTACTAATGGTCAGACTCCTTAAGAGTCTACCCACTATGATGGATGTTCTAATAAACCTTGTCTTTGGCTGAAAAAAAAAAGATCCTAGGCATCATCTTTCAAGAAATTATCAAGGAAAACTGTCTTGCTATTTTAGAACCAGAGGGCAAAATAGAAATTGAAAGAATCCACTGATCACCTCCTGAAACAGATACCCAAAGGAAAACTCCTAGGAATATTGTAGCCAAATTCCAGAGTTCCCAGGTCAAGGAGAAAATATTGCAAGCAGCCAGAAAGAAACAATTCATGTGTTGTGGAAACACACAAGATTTATAAAAAGAAAAAACAAACAAACAAAAAGAATCAATACAAAAGTGTGGTATGAATCAGGGGTGTTTCAGACAGAATGTGTGATGAATGCTAAGCACAAAACCAATGAAAAATGACTTTTGAAAAGCTGTATTAGGGGCACAAAAAGCTGAAAGAGGCATAGAAATATCAGGATCATTAAAATGATGAAAAGGGAAAATTACTCAAATATTATGTTGTTTCTGTTTACAGCAAGGAGAATGATCTTAAGACTTGGAATTATTTTTAATGGTTAGAAGTTAATTGAAGTAAGCAACAGTGAGTAATCAGTTGCCTTCAATGAATTCAAGTATCCAAGGCCAGATGAACTATATCCCAAGATAATAAGAAAAATTGTGAAATAACTTCTCAATTACCGTTTGAAAAATCATTAAGGGGGGGGATGTAATATGATGGCAAATCACTAAGATGGAAAGGATCTGAGCACAGAGATGCACCTTTCTACTAGGTCATTTAAATGATCATCTCTAGACTCTGCTCCCCAGCCCAGGATTCCACACAGAGATCTTCAGATTCTTGCAGAGACAGTAGAATAGGGAAGCTGCCAGGGCAGGTTGAGAGCCCAAGCTCAGAAGGTGAGTAAAACTTCAAGGAAACTTCAAGGCAGCTTCAGCACTCACTATCTGAGATCCATAAAGCACCAGAGCCCCATGTGTAGCCAATACAGAACTTTCTTGATGGTTTAACAAGAGTGAGTTTGGGGTGTTCTGGGAGAAGATATCATAGTACAACCTGCCAAAGCCATAAGCCTCACTTTCATCTGAATAAATAAAGATTTAATATAACACATAGATGAAACTAAAAATAGGAACATTAAACTCATAAAAAGGAGATAGGGACAAAGGAAGGTTATAGAAAGGCCCAAGAGGGTGGGCAGGATAGTAAGAGCATAGTTATAAACAAAATGATCTCCAGTGTTAGAAGGAGAAATATAAAGGGAAGATTCAAAGGAAAGGAAAAAAGAAAAAAATCATGGATAATCTCCACCACCCAAAGATCAGTTAAATTAACTGAGGTCATCTATCTATCTATCTATCTACCTATCTTCCTACCTATCTATATATCTGTCTATAGATATATTAAAGAATACTTCAGGAGCTAGAGAGCTACAGCAGTCTAGCAGTTAAAGGGCTGTTATGTGGAAAAGAGATAAAGTTTATTTTGCTTTCACCTAGAGAATAGAATAAAGAGTGATGGGTGAAAACTGAAGAGATGCAAAATCAACTTTATGTTAGGAAAAAAAAACTTTTCAATGTTCATAGCAGTCTAAAAGTGAAATTAGAAATCTTACGTAGTAGTGAGTTAATCATCACTGGAAGTCTTCAAGTGGAAGCCAGAAGACCACATATCAGGAATCTTTTAGAGAGAATTTCTGTTTAGGCAAAAATGACTTTAGAGGTGCTTCCAACTCCCTGATTCTATGAAAAAAATACTCTATGAGTTTTTCCCCTTAATTTTCTGACCTAAAAATGAATTAAATTTAACTGTACAGTTGAATATAATCTTAAATATCTTTTTTGTTACACTATTTTCCTTGTTTGATGTAAATAATGCCTAGATGCAAAACCATTTTCTTTCTTCTCTGGCTACTAGACTATATCTCCTATGATTTTGGGAACTTCATTTTTATACTTCAATTGAACAACTTATCTTTCAACCTATTTGTGGAACAATTTGTATATCGGTATTCAGTCAACCAGTACTCAACATTTCCTTTGTTCCAACTCTGATATGAAGATGTTAGAGCCTTAAGTTTGGAGAGGGGCAGAGATCAAAATCCAGAATTAAGAGAGCTCTGCCCTTCAGATTCTATATGTCTTTGCATATTGAGTAGCAGAAACATTTTTGAAATCTTGCTTCTTTGCACTGGTTTGTAGGCCTTCTAATTCAGTCATACAGACACCCCTTGTCAGTGGCAACCTTACCTCTAGGCAGCCATGGGTCGGGAAGCAGTGGGGTATATTAGAATGAACATTGGATTTAGATATCACAGGATTTGGGTCTGAATCATCTCTGATATTTTTAAGAGTGTATGACTATGGTCCAACAATTTTATCTTTCTGAGTCTTTGTTTCTTTATTATCTATAAAACTGGGGATAATAATTTTATTACCTATCTCGTAGAATTGTTGTGAAGAAATAATGCATAACATTGTATAATACATAACACTGTATATATGTGAAATATTTCCACCCAGGGCAGCTCATAGACCTAGAGGATGAAGGGACCTTAGAGGCCATCTAATTTCACCCTCACTTTATAGATAGGGAAACTGAGGCTCAGGGAGGTTAAGTGATTTGCCCAAAGTAACAATGGTAGAATTTTTAGTGCTGATAGAATAATAATTAAATGCTGGTAGAATCTTATATATGGATGATTTCTCTACAACATATCTACTGAAATCTTGTTTCAACTCTATTTTGTCAATAAATACCTTTCTCAAAATGGGACATTCAACTTGTATGCATAATGAGAACTTGGAGTGGTAAAAACAAGTTACCCTTAAGCTATCAAATAGATCAAATGCTTTAATTTTAAGTACTGAAAATTCATGCAGATTGATCCAATGAAATAACTGCAATTTAACAAACATTGTCTGACCACCTAATATGTACCCAAAGTACTGTGCAACATTGCCTATTCAGATGAGTCACTAATTAGGAGTTAATTTAGGATTCATTTACCAAAAAAAGCACATACATTTATCCCACTCTAACAAAAACACTAGCTTCACTATTATTTAATACTTCTGCTTTTCCCCTCCATATTTGCAGGAGCACAATTTAAATCTGCATTATCCCTAACTAAAAAGAATTAAGTTAGAAAGAAAAGATCTCACTGACTAGAGTGAATTCCAAAATACTCAGAACAGTTTATTGAAACTGATCAGCTTAAACAAGGAGAAAATTGAGATTCACTTCTACCTATATATTTGGGGAACACAATTAGAAGAGACACTTCTTGCTCATGAGGACATAAAGCTGGCCTTTCAATATAGATTACAGAGTGATGGAAGCTGAAGGCTCTCCTCTGAATCACAATTTGTGGTTGTAATGGGCATGTGGTATTCTGAATCAAATTGTAAAAGATGTTGGTGTCATGTTTCTATTTGGAGAGGCTTATCTGATCCCACATCTTCACAAACTGTATGTAACTCAGGAGAAAGGATGGTTTTTACCAAATGGGCTTAGAACAATTAAGAAAGCCACTGCTAGACAACTCTTCTTTTGTTTCAGGAACAATAGATCCATATGTGTATATGTATGTGCATGCTTACACAAATTTGGAGGATATAAACAACAAGAATATTAATAAAAAATAAAATAAATTATGAAGAATCTCTTACCTCCATCAATTTCTTCTGCTCCAAAATGATTCCGATAGAAGAGCATGATATCAATCTTATAACACTTGTAGATTGTCACCAAACATACAAGCAGCAGCAGAATGGCACCCAACCCACCAGCAAGTTCAACTGTATACATCAGTTCTGCAAAAAAGCACAACATGTCGTAGCACTGTATTCTCCCAGTGAAAATAAAAATTTCAATTTGATTTCACTGCCTGGGGATTTAATTAGTGAATGTGAATATTGTTTTTCTCTCATACACACTCAACTTTCAAATCTCTCCCACACAGGATAGGTGTTTTCTAACTTTTATAGACAAAGAGTTCATCTTCATTAAAGTCTCCATCTTTCGAAAAAAAGAAATTAGACAATTGGGGAATGAGATTTTTTTTTTCATTTTTGGAACTTTTATAAGGTGGGGAGGAAAGAACATAATAACTTTCCATTGGCAGAAAAGTAAGACTTGTTCTATTAGGCCCCCAAAACCAGAACTAGGTAAAATGGGGAGAATTTGCAAAGAGGCCAATTAATTAATGTTAGGAAAAAGCTTCCTCCCTTTGAGACTCAAGCTGTCTCAAAGTGAGATGGAGCACTTCTGGATGTTGTGAGTTCTCCCTCAGTGCAGGGCCTCAAGAAAAGAAGACCAACTGGTTGGGTATACTGTGGAGCAAATTTCTTTTTCAGTATTGCAGTATTTTTCAGCTTATGGGTTGAAATATGTGATCAACAACACTCCCTTCCAGCTCACAAATGCCATGATTCCATGAAATCTCTAACAAAATACTACAGAGTCAAATCTAAATTCAGTGTCAATTATATATTAAGCAATCTATGTTGATTACAATCCAATTTGTGTTATGGATTGATATCCAACATTCCTATTAGTTTAATACTAACTAGCAGAGTGCTATTTTTCCTAATTGGATTTTAAATAAAAATGCTTATGAGATTTGGGTCACATAGACCATTTGCATATATGTGTGTATGTATAGATAAATATGTATGGGTATACACACACATACACACACACACACACACACACACACATACAAAGTGAAAGCCAGAAGACCACATAAAAGAAATAGAAGCTAGGGACAAAGGAACACACACACACACATTTACACATATACGTGTGTATATGTATATCTGTATGTATGTGTATATATGTACACATACATATGCATGCATTGTGCACATATACATGTGTGTATGTGTACACATATCCTTATGTAATATTATATATATGTATATATGTATATATATTATATATTATATATATTATATATATTATATATATATTATATATTAATATATACATATATTATATATATGTATATATATACTTTGTCATTTGAAATATATTCATGTACATGATATATAACAAATATAAATACATGAATATATACACATATTACAAATGACCAAGTATATTTCCTTGATTTATTGCTACAAAAAGATGGATTTAAATGGAAAAATTATAAAATTAATTATGTGTGACATAAGCCTAAGGTTCATTAAATGTGAATGAGATCATTATGCAGTTTTTATATGCCAAGCACAAATAACTCCAAATGCGTGGCTCCCACCAAGTTTTTCATAAGAATTTTCCATCATATTACATATGATAAAGTTCAGTTACTTTTATCCTCACCTGTTTCTCCATTTCTAATCAGTAGTTAAATCACAAAATACATACAGGTCTTCTGGTTATTCAGTCATTTCAGTCATTGCTGACTCTTCATGAACCCATTTGAGGTTTTCTTGGCAAAGATACTAGAGTAGTATGCCATCTTCTCCAGCTCATTTTACAGATGAGGAAACTGAGGCAAACAGGTGTGACTTGCTCAAGGTCACACAGCTAGTAAGGATCTGAGGCCATATTTAAACTCAGTTCTTCCTGACTCCAAGCAGAAGTTTATCCACTGAGCACCAGCTGCTCATATGTACATATGTACAAATATATAGGTATATATACATATACATACACACATACACATATATACATATGCACTACTCTTTAGTTATATTTTTCTACTATAGTTAAAATTAAAGAGTTAATAAGAAGGTATAAAATTACTTTCTGTGGTAGATATGTGCAGGGTTATACTATAATATAACTTAGTTCTCTTGGCATTATATTTGCTTAGGCAAAGCTCATTAGAATGACCCAAAATGTTAACTATTTAGTAACTCCTGATATAGGAATAATTTAATTATTCAAAAGATCCATTCAGGAAACACCTAGTGGTTTCCCATATTTGATAAGATATTTCCTCTTGGAAGTCACTAGTCTTTCCATACAAATACAGGTTTCTATGTCTCTGTGGCAATAAGGGATATTGAGAAAGCTTCATATCAGTCAGCCCTGGAAAAAACATCATGGATGCCTCAGTGGGTTTATCTTTGATTCAATTACATATCTTTACTTGGATACATTATAAAATTAGAAAGCACATGGCTTAACTCATTTGTTATTTTAATATTCTAAGAGCATAGCAGAGGGTCATGGAACATGTTGCTAAAAGTCATTGGGTTTTACAAATATTAGAAAGGATCATCAAGCAAATGATTGAATCCCCTAGGGTATAAGGAAATTAATGTGAAATCTGCAAAAGAGAATACCTAAAGGAAGGGTTTTTTGGTTGCTGTTGGTAGTGGGTTTTTTCCTCCCTTTTGAATTCTACTTACAAATGTCAAAAGCATTTTTTTTCCTTGCTGAAAGTTTGTTTTAAGAGCATATTGTATAATGCACCATCATCATCATCATCATTATCATCACCAACAACACTAGCATTTATAAGGCATGCTAAAATTTGTAAATTGCTTTACCCATTTTCTTATTTAATGCAATTAACAACCCTGTGAATTAGGTATTATTATTGTCCCCATTTGTTAAATGAGGAAATTGAGTCTGAAAGTGGTTAAGTGTGTTGCCCAGAGTCTCATAGCTAACTAAACATCTGAGACAGGATTCAAACACAATTCTTCCTGATTCTAAGTCCATTGCTCTAAACACTATACCATATTGCAAAGTTCAAGACAACTTATTAATATGATATTCATCTCTCTTTGTATATATTGTGAATGCCACAATGGGGATATTATGCAATGAAGATACATATGGCCAGGTCATCCCTAGGTATAAATTATCCCCTTCTACCATTTCTTTAGCCATCTCCTTTCCTACTCCTCCTCACCTGGGAGTTAATGGAGACTTGGAGGGAGGGAAGCTGAAATGGATTATTCTACATAGAATAGATATGAACATAGAGACAGCAATGATTTAGTTCATGGCCTTCTTATAAATTCAGTGTTGTTTGATTCTGAAACATAGTTTGTCATAATCCTGGAATTTAAAAATTTTTTAAGGGGGGATCATACAATTGGCAGCCCAAAACCCTGAGCCAAGGGGAAGTATTAAGTAGATCAAAGAGCTGGCACTGCTGTGTGGCTTCCTATAGCTGTAGGCAGCCCTTTGATGAAGGTGCTGTTGCCCATACTGGGATTAGCGTCTCTATGGATGCCCCCAGTCAACCCTCTGAACTCCAAAGGGTGGCGTTGTACCTGATCATCTTGTCTGCCTCTGGTGATCAGTTTAGAGTAATCCACCCCCATCCAGACAACAATGAATGTACCCCCCCCCCCCCCAAGATGCCTAAAAGCAGAAATAATGCTTCAGACAATAGTCACATCATTGGTCTTTATATGTGTTATTTTTAATCTAGTCAGCAAGTATTAGCAAATCCAATAAATGAAAGGGGAAACCATGCCAGGCATGATCACTTCAAAGTGTGAAATAGCTCAGACACTGGAGAAGTAGAGGGTTGACCTATTTAGGATCTTATATCAACTTAGCTCTAGATGACATGTGCTAACCAGGAAAGTTTAGAATGTTTGTTTATCCTGACCATAATAATTTATTATTCTTTAGTCCTTTAAGGTGTATAAAATGTTTTCAACATTAAATTTCAAACATAATGAAATACAACAATGATGTGATCATAGCCTACACAATCTAAAAGATAATGTTCTTGCTAGTTGACTGCCTCTAATTTCTGTATATGTATGTATGTACATGTGCAAAAATCATGTATATGATCATAAGGAGGTATATTTATTTGTATTCATATGTACATGTATATGTATATGATGTCATACCTATAGTCAAAGAGTATGCAATATATATTTGGGGTCACTTGGGGGGATTTCCTGTAATATTAATTATGACAACAAATGAGAGCATACGGGAACCAAACTTTCGTTGGTGCCAATCAACTCTGAAAATGTTACGGATTGCCCTTAAAACTTCTCTTCCCACTGCAAATGTAGAGATGCAATGCTAACATACGACATAAAAAAGTACAACTAAATTTATGAAAGGTCAACTATATTCTGGATGCTGGGTAAGATACAAAGTTTAGATAAGTTTCACTGACCCTAACCCCTAGGAGCTTACAATCCAGTAAGGGGGGAGGGGGCAGGGATAAGGTCCCAATAGAAAAACTTAAAATACATAATAATCAGAGCCCATAATCAGAACATGATCCTAAGTCCATGACCCAGAACATAATCAGAAAAGACCTCATAAAGGTCAAATTTGAGTGGGGCTTTTAAGCTTCTTGAGGGCAGGGAGCGTGTTTTATATTCTTCTGTTTCCTCCACTGGGTCTAAGATGATGCTGTCCATATTAGTATATGTTCAATAAATATTTTTGATACACGGTTATAATGTAAATATATAATATGATATAACATAACATATTATCACCTATTCATATAATCTGACCAATAGAATAGAGTAACATAGCATGGCATAGCACAGGACAGGAAAGAATAGAAAAGAACAGATTATCATAAATTGTACAGAGTTTGCAAATTACTTTGTATATCTTATATTTTACATCTTCTTTGAACCTTACAGTAACCCTGAATGGTAGGAGATACAGCACTATTATGACCATTTTATAGACGAAGAAACTGATGTACATATAGATTAAGTAATTTTTTCTAGTTCACATATCTAAAGTTAGAAATGAGAGCTCAACCTAACTCTTCTTAATATCTAGTCCAGCACTTTAAACCAGGGGTGGGGAACCTGCAGCCTTGAGGCCACATGTGGCCTTTTAGGTCCTTGGGTGCGTA